TTTGGTGGTTGGTGCATACATTTGAATAATAGTCGTATTAACTGGTCTTCCTTGTAGGTGTATGCATATTATCCTGTCACTGACAGCACTGTACTTCAGGACAGATCTTGAAACATCTTTTGTCATGATGAATGCCATGCCATTCTGCTTCAATTTGTCATTCCCAGCATAGTAGATCATATGATTGTCTGATTCATAATGGCCAAAACTGGTCCATGTCAGCTCACTAATGCCTAGGATATCAATCTTTATACGTGCCATTTCATTTTTGACAACTTCCAATTTTCCTAGATTCATACTTCATAATTCCATGTTCCAATTAATAATGGATGTTTGCAGCTGTTTCTGTTCAATTTGAGTCATGCCACATCAGCACATGGAGGTTCTGAAAGACTTACTTTATTCATATTCAGGTTGGTTCTACTCTAATGAAGCATCTCTTTCCCAGTCCTGTTTTGAGTGCCTTCCAACCCAAGGGGCTAGTCTTCCTATACTGTGTTGGACAATGTTTCCAAGCTATTTATAAAGTTGCCCAGTAATGTATCAGACAGTGTTTCTCTGCTATTCATAAGGTTTTCCCTGACCAATTTTTGAGAAGTGAATGGCCTCCTCCTTCTTCCTAGTCTGTCTTAGTCTCTAAGTTGCATTGAAACTTGTGCACATTTGCAACTCTGCTGGCATTTGAAACACCAATGGCACAGCCCCAAGCCTCACAGCAACATACAAGCCTCACAGGATGAGAAACTTTCAGACAAGTTTGTCTCCCTTAGCTATTGGAAACCTCTGCACCCTACTCTTACCTAATTCCTGCCTGAAACCTGCCACTCTGTGGCAGCATACAGATGAGGAAACTGAGGTGCAGAGTAACTACCTGGGGTCGTTCAATTGGTTAAGTAGCTCCTTACCCAGTGTGCTTGTCAGCTGTGCTCTAACAAGCAGCTCACTGCCAAGAACTTAACACAAGCACTTTTGCTGTTCACCTTCATGCTCCTGAGAGTCAGCAAGTCTCTAATACTACATCTGCCCAGATTAGACCCCTAGTCAGTACTTGTAGAAGGGTGCCCAGGCCTTTACCACTCCAGCTGCTCACATACAGCTCAATCATGGGCCTCTCTCTTGCTCAGTTTCTCACTCATAGCCAGACTCTCATGGCCCTGGGAGACTGTGTAGTTCCTAGCAGGAGCCTGGAGATGTAGAGGACCCTTCCTCATCTCTTGTGGCTTTCTAGGGGTTGTGGTTATGACTACCATTGTTGTTCCCCATAGTGGACACCAGGGGGCAGAAGGAGCCCAGATATAGGGTGATTGAGAAGGATGCTCTTGCACTTAGGTCTTCACAGTCCCACTGTCATCAACCACTGTGGGGGAAAAGGGAGCTGTTATTTCTGTCTGAAACCTCCCAAACTTTAACCTAGGGGAACTGTTTCCAGACACATGTCTTCAACATCTATCTTGGGCACTCCCTGTGTGCTCCCTTGACCTGCCTGGACCTTGTGGGAAGCAATAGGATGCAAACTGCAGCACTTGGGTTTCATGATTATGAATGTATAGGTACAAGGAACTGTGATATGAACTTCCACTGTCTACTTACAATGCAATGAGGGAGAGACTATAGCCATAGAAAATTGTGACTCTAGGCAGTAAGTGTCATGATAGGGGTGGATAGGGCCTGTGAGTGTGCCTGGAGGGCACTTAACCCAGCCTAGAGATGGTGGTCAGAGAAAGGTCCCTGTAGGAAAAGTCTCTTGGGCCAAATACTAAAGGGCCCTTTGGATTCAATCAGATTCAATCGGAAGAAGCAGCTTGGGGAGGGAGAGAGGAGCATGGGTCAGAGGAGAAGCATCTGGGCAGAGGCAACAGCACAGCAGGGCAGCCCTATCTTGTTGATGGCCATCAGGTACTCCTCACCCTGTGCCATGTTCTATCCAGAGTGATGCCCTCAGCAATTTTGGAGAAGTCTCCTCCCAGAGAGGGAGCTGAAAGGCTTACCCCTTTCCAGGGATTCTTAGGCACTGTAGGAATTAGAATATTGGAGAAGCAGCTAACTGAAATAACATGCAAAAATGCCCACCACAGAATCTACACATAAGAAGTTCTGAGTAAAGGTTTTATGTGCATCTTTGTCCCCACACCGTCCCCTCCAACCTTGTCTTGTGCTAGCCCTACTCCCTCATCACAACTCTTTGGTACCACCAACTTCCAGCCAGACAAATGTGCTGCTGTATCAGGAACACAGTGTTCTCTCTCTCACCCATACCTTTGTGATTTTCCTTCTGGTTTCTCTTCACCATAGGTTATTTATGCTAGTTGCTGTGGAGTCAGCTCTTACTCGTGGAGGCTCCCTATGTATCAGGAAAGAGCTGTGCTCTGTAGGGTTTTCAGTGGCTGACATTTTAGAAGTAGATCACCAGGCCTTCTTCCAAGGTGACTTTAAGTGGACTCCAACCTCTAGCTTTTTGGTTAGCTGCCCAGTGTGTTAACCATTTGCCCCACCCAGAGTTATTTGGAAGTGTGTTATTTAGTTTCCAAATTATTTTGGGATTTTCCAGTGATCTTTCTGTTATTGATTTCTAATTTAATTCCATTATAGTCAGAAAATATATTTTGTATAATTCTAATCCTTTTAAATTTATTGAGATCTGTGTTTTTGTTTTGTTTTGTTTTTTATGGCCTAGAATATGGTCTATCTGGGGGAATGTTCTAAGTGGACTTTAGAAGAATATGTGTTCTGTTCTTTTGGGGTGGAGTATTCTATAAATGTCAATTAGATCAAGTAGTTGATAGTGTTGTCCAAGTCTTCTATACCTTTATTGATTTCCTCTCTACTGATTCCATAAATTATTGAGAAAATGGTATTGAAATCTCCAGCTGTCACTGTGAATTTTTCTATTTCTCTGTGCAGTTCTGTCACTTTTTGCTTCATGTGTTTCAAAGCTCTGTCATTAGGGGGTAAACGTTTATAATTGTTATTTCCTCCTGGTGAATTGATACCTTTATCATTATGAGATGACCTCTTTATCCCTGGTAATATTTTTTTTTACCTAAAATCTATTTGTCTAATATTAATATAGCCAACTCACCTTTCTTTTGACTGGTGCTAGCATCCTCTTACTGCTTTCCATCCTTTCACTTTTAATCTATTTGCATCTCTGTATTTAAATTGCATTTCTTATAGACAGCATAGTGTTGGGTCTTGCTTTTATCTAAAGTGACAATCTTTGGCTTTTAATTGGGACATTTAGACTATTGACATTTAATGTAATTATAAGGTTACATTTGAGTCTTTTATCTTACTCTTTGTTTTTTATTTGTCCCATCTGCTTTTTGTTCCCTTTCCCTCTTTTTTTGCCTTCTTTTGGGTTGAGTATTTTTTATGAATTTGTTTTATTGCATTTGTTAGTGTATTAGCTAAAACTCTTTCTTTTGTTGTTTCCGTGATTGCTCTTAAGGCTTATAGTATGTATACATCTTTAAATCATCACAGTCTACCTCCAGTGATTTTATACCACTTCATGTATAGTGTAAGACCCTTACTGTCATTCTTTCATTTCTACGTTACCATATACTATTATTTTGTTTAAATAGTTTTATTTTATTGAAATTTAAATAATAATTTTAAAATCTTGTATATTTACCTAGGTAATTGGCACTTCATTCCTGTGTTTCCATCTGACATCATTTTCCTTCAGCCTAAAGAACTTCGTTTAACTTTTGTTGTAGGGCAGATCTACTGGTAATGAATTCTTTCAGGTGTTGTCTGTTGAAAAAGTCTTTATTTTGGTTTCATATTTTGAAAGATAGTTTTGCTGGTTATGTAGTTCTACATTGACAGTTTTATAAGATTCTGGATTCAGTCATTTTCTATACTTTAAAAAATATTTAATAGGAAAAAATAAACCTAAATTTAACAAAAATTGTGTTTCTGAAAAAAAGGAGCATTATTCAGTTTTGTAAGGAATAAAAGTGGTTACTTCTGGGGCAGTTTACTATGTTAGGATCTCAGAGTTGCTAAAATGTAAGGTAGTCAATGGGACCCCTGATCTCTATAACCATTTGTGTAGTCAGTCCCAAATGGAAGACTTAAGGATATTTTATGACACTGGACTATCTTGATGTTTATCCTTTCTAAAAACAAAATATTTAAAAAAAAAAAAAAAAGCTTAATTAAAATGTTGCTTGGCTCTATCTTATTCCCTGTCATATCTTTAGTTTTAAAATGAAGGCTGTGTCTTAGCTAGTCATCAGGTTGAAGGCCCTGCCCTCATGGGGAAGAAAGGCCCAAGCCCTGCCCCTGCCCAGCACATACCACTTGCTCAAATTTGGCCTCTTACAGTGAAGCTCTTGGAACATACCTTGAGAAAATAAATGTCTCCTGGAACTAATTTTTCATTTGAAGACAAAGAGTAAACAGGAGGCTGAGGCTTAGACATAGAACAATGAAAAGGCTCTGGGGAATGTGAACTGGCCATGGCTTAGCCAGGAGAAGGGCCTGTAGTGGGGCTAACTGAGAAGCCATGGGTGGAGCCAGGGTTCTTTGGCCCTAAGGAGAGTGGGCTCAGCAGCTTTGTGGAGTGCTTGAAATATGATTATGTGGAAGGAGGGCTTGACTGCAAGGGCAGCACCAGGACCAACAGGAGATAGCCAGACAGATGGATTTAATTCAGTTACAGCTTCCTGAAGCCAGAAAGAGGCTGCTTCTCTAAGTTGGGGAGCATTCTAGCACTGGCCATGGTCAACGGAAGCTGGTGACCACTCCCTAAGGGTGCTGACCATTTCATGGTTCTGGATGAAGCTCATGCCTATGGCCTTCCCCCATGACACAAACCCAGGGCATGTGGGACCTGGGGGCTGGTCCTATCCCCAACCCTGCTCAGCTGTGACCTCAGACAGGGCACTCAGCCTCACTAAGCCTCAGTCTCCTCCCTGCAAATAGTCTGCCCAGAGGATCTGTGGTAACCCCTCAGCCTCCATGACACTTTTTTTGGTCTTCTTTTCTTCCAGGTCCTCATTCCCATGACCCGCTGCAATTCCCACAAGGAGAACATCCAGGGCCAGCTCAAGGTCCGCACACCAGGCATCTACATGCTCATCTTTGACAACACTTTTTCAAGGTAGAGGCCTCACTCACCAGCATCCAGATGAGTCCACTTGCCACTCTGCCACCTGTTCTCTAGGTGTTCAGAGGTGGACATTAGAAATTGATGATTTAATTGTTAATAATTTAGTAACAGTTTTTTAACCTCTATGGTACGGTGTTCCCATGTCTGTTATCGATTTTATAACACACAGACTGCTACTTACAGAGTCTCACAATGTGTTGCTCATGTTCTAGATGTTCTACCCCTATTAACTTAGCTAAGTGTGACAGCATCCCCATGTGGTAGGAACTGTCTTTCTCCTCGTTACTGCTGAAGGGAGTGAAGACCAGAGGGAGAGTAATGACATGCCCAAGTCACACACCATGTATGTGGTGGAGCCATATTTGAACCCAGGCAGCCCACCTTCAGAGTCTGGACTCTTAACCACTATCCTCTCCTGTTTCGCTTTGATGCCCAGATTGCTGCTGCCCAGCCTAAAGAAGGGGCTTAGTAAATACAGTAGAAGGACTGAATGAATGAATGATAAAGGAGTGAAAGCATTAAGGAGAAATCTGAGATAAGCAGGACTGAGGCTGTCACAGAGCTGTGTGTGCCATCTTGAGGAAGCACTGTGCCAGAGGGTCTGCCTCTGAGTTAGAAGTATAAGATTGGGGTGAGGAGAAGATAGGATTGGGAGGGTGGGAATGTAAGGAAATAAGGCTGAGGGGGTGGCCAGAGAAGAAAGTGTGGACCAGCAGTAGTTGAACATCTACCATGAGCCAGAGCCCCCCTTTCACTAAGGCACAAGGTAAAGGAGGTTAGGGTTGCTGGGCATCTATCCCTTTTTATGTTTTCTGGCTTCAGTATAGCCCCTTAACTAGGGCTATGTCTGTAAAGAAACATGCTTGATCAGTTCTGGGAACATCCCTACGAAGCAGGACCCTGGGCTAGATACTATATCTCCATACCCTGGATACCCTGTCCAGCCCATCGGACTTTGATTTGACAGGATACTCCAGGGAAAAGCTATACCACCCTTATCACCTCCAGGCCACGAGCTCCAGGAGTTGTGGCCAAAGGCATCCACCAAAACAGGCTCAAAAAATAATCAGAAGGGATCAACCTTCCATCTTGCCCATCTCCTGCCCTCCCCTCCACACCCCTGCATGAATGAACACACAGTTTAATAGCAAGACTTCAGGAACACAGGCCCAGCACATCCAGAGAGCTGCCCTAGAACCCTAGGTTGAGTGCAGGTCCCAGCCCCTCTCAAGTGACAGGATGGCACAGTAGTTAGAAGGGTTGGGGTCAACCAGACATGGCCTCTGCTCTTCCCACTGTGAGCTTTAGTTTCCGCCTGTGTGCAGTGGCAGTGAACAGTGTTACCACCTCACTGAGCCTCACTAGGTTGACAGCCTGAGGTGAGGCATTCTGAAAGTGGAGCACAGTCCCAAGCCCAAACAGTCTCCCATTTACCATGGGAGGTGAGTAGGGTGCTATGCAATCCAGCCTCAGCCTATTGAAATCATCTCATGGGTCTCCTCAAGGTTTCCAACCATGAATGACAAAGCAGATTTAGATACCCAGTTGGAATGGCATCCATACCCACCTCTGCCACATTCTTCCTCCCAGGGCCTGTTCATCTGCTTGCCCTGTGTGGTGCAGACTGCCCACTGCTGCAGAGCGAGTAAGGGAATGAGGCTGCCTCACAGGGCCCAAAATGCATTTCTGCACCTGAGCCCCAGGAAAGTCAATGGTGATGCCTCAAAGTCACCTGACCCTTAGCAGGGAAAGAACTCTGCTAGCCAGACAACAAATAAGGGTGAGGGGGCTTGGAAGAGTCCATGCCCTCGTGAGGGGCTCAGGCCTCTGAGCCGAGGTCTGCTCACAGGTCCCTGTGCCAGCCAGCACTCACACCCAACCAGGCCACAACAGCCACAGAGGCCCCAAGAGCCACCGCCGCCCTCGGGCTTTCAGTTTTCAGAGTAACACCTTCCTTTTCCATTTCTGTTTCCTCAGGTTTGTCTCCAAGAAAGTATTTTATCGCTTGACAGTTGACCGACCTGTCATCTACGATGGAAGTGATTTCCCATAGCCTCAGGCACCTGGATTTTAATAGCTTCACTTTATGCACAGGAAACACTACTCTTCCTCACCTGTCACATAAAACACTTTTTTAAAAAAAAAGAAAAAAGGCAGCAGCCTCTCTGCAAGCTAATCAATCAACTGTGCAGCTCTGGCAGAGAGGCCCTTGAGGACACGCCTCCTCAGCTGCATTGTCCTGAGCACTGCCTACCCTGCACTGTGCACGGGTCACCCTTAGCCCCATGGCCTTTAAGGGCTCAAGCGATTCTGCCATTGATTTGGTAACTAGCTGTCCTCATACTCAAAGGGATGCTCTGCCAGAGGTTTAAGCACTCAGGAGATCATCAGCCTCTCCTGGAATCACAGTTAGTTATAGGCCTCCTCCTGTGGAGAGTTTCATGGGGATCCCAACTTCCCCTGTGAAGAGAGATGCCCTGCTCTGCCCAGCCTGGAGCCAGGCATCCTAGGTGTCTGTGAGCCAGACACTGTGAGTCCTCAGTCTCTGAGACCCACAGGTTCTCAGGAAAAGAAGGCCACGGGGTCATTGTTGGGAATCAGGGCTCTACAGAGCTCTCTTGAGATCCTCACAGCCTCCTCTTCCTGTCACACCTTGTCCCTCACTGCCCCAGGAAGTTTAGGGCTGGTCCAAAACTCAGCTATTTTGGAGTGGCCTCTAACCTGCACTTTCTCCCTGGCCCTTCTGTCTGGGTAATTCAGTCCCTTCACTCAGCTAGACCTCTCCACAGGTCACAGCATTGTCCTAAGAGCAGAACTGGAGACAATCAGAGAAACAGAACCCACCACACTGAAGGCTGCACAGTGGCCGTGTATATGCTGCAGCAAGAGCCCAAGTGCTGGCTGAGGTCAACACCACAGCAAAAGAAAAAAGAAAAAAGCTGGTCTTTAGGGCTCCCTCCTCAGCAGACGGCCTGTCATTTTTTATGTACATAGGAGCTCCCACCTCGCCTGCAGATACGTGTTTACTAATGATCATAACCAGGGTGAGAATCGTCTTCAGAACTTGGGACCTTCTTCTCAAACATGACTGGTAACACAAGTGTAAACAGAGGCAGCGTTCATGAATTTGCCCTTTGTTCATGTCCTGGTCTTCAATGTCCATGTATGCTTAGCACACTCCCCACCCACCAGATCCCCCAACACCCCATTTGCATGCTTCCTGATACTCAGTATGCAGCTGATACCCAGGAGACAGCTCCCTTGGAGCCAAGTGAGTCCCTATTTCCTGGACAGGATTTAAGTACTCTTCCTGTTCTCTGTGGCCCTTTTCTTCTCCCACCACAGAGAGCTTACCTTTGATGGTCTCTTTGTCCCATTCACAGAGGCTGATCTCCTGTAGTCAGGTCTGGGTACTTCCATAGATGAGCAGAGCATCTGAAAAAAATGGCCCACTTTGACCTAAGGAAAGAGCAGTGAACAGGTTTCTTGAGGACCTGAATTCTGGGCCCAGCTCTTTCTCCAGCCAGTCTTGTGACCTAAGTCAAGTTACCAGCTCTCAAGGCTTCCTTTTATCATCATAACCTTTGTATAACTGGCTTTGAAGGCTTGAGAACAGGTCAGGGGCCCCCAGGCCAAGTCCAGCACAGACCTCCCAACCCTCCATGCGTCAGCAGCCACAGCATCAACACCAGCAAAGAGAACTCTCGCGAGAGCAGGGGTAAGGGGAAATACTCCTGTGGAGGACTCAGACCTTTCAGGTAAACAGGAGAGCTGGACACTTCCAGTCAGTTCACAAGGGGTATGGAGAATGGCAAAGAGAACCTTTCAAAATTTAGCCAGAGAGAAGCCAGGCCTCTTGTTCTCTGTTTCTTGGGGCAGCCTCCCTGATCAGAAAGGAGGTTCTCTACCATCCCCTTTTGGCCAAGGCCCTAACAGTGCTTAGCACCAAAACGGAAAACGACCAGGCTGCCAAAGACTCCCAGCCTCGTACTTGTCCTCACAGGCATGCCACACAGCCTGCAGATTGTTCAAGAGCAATTTATCCAGCCTTTGAATCCATCTACCTTCTTAAAAGAATAATCAGAAGTCAGCTGTGCCACCACAAGAGAGAAACAAAAGTCTCCTTTTGAGTACTCACCTTTCACAGGATGCCACGGGGACTCAGCAAGGCAGTGGCTGCCTATTGGTGTCACCACCATCATTTGCAACAGGAACCAACATTGATTGAGCAGCTGTTGTGTTTGGGACCTGTGAAAGGCCACAGATTCTTCTGAGATCCACCCTGAGACTCACTCTGTCACTCAACACAGCAGATGACCAGTTACAACTTAAAAAACAACTTGACTCTTCTTATGAAGGTAAGCAGAACCCCTCATCCAGGAGAGTGGGGCTGCTGTGTCAGGCACCACCTTGAACCCTGACTACGATGGTACAGGAAAGGTCCTTTCTGCCTTCAGAGGACCGCCCAGTCCCCCAGTGGTCGTTTCTTTAACTCTGGTTTTATTAGCATAGGTATTTTTGTGTGCTGGACAAACTCTTGTACTTACTTACTTTGCTGTTCAAGCTCAAGTTTGCTGTGAACTATGCACTTAGACAGCTTCTTGACCTTTTTAAGTTTGGCTTTTATCAATAGCTTTATTCTTATTTTAAACAGATGTCCAACTGTACTGAGGTTTTTGGATTGAGGTACATTTTATAAAAATGCAAATGACAATTGAAAAGCTACTGTTGAAAGTGGTAGCCCCAACTAGACTGAAAGTACACTGGAAATCAAAAGAAGACAATGACCTTGGGATCCAGATCACTATTTAAAAGGTAGGGGGACAGGCAGCCTCCTGATGGCCCAACTCTCTGAATAACAGTCATTTTTGTTATTGCTGCCCGCTGCCTTGTTCATCACTGCCACTAAAGCCACTGCTCCTCTTCTGGGCAGCACACCAACCCCAGTGAGGCCCACCTCCATTACCAAGGGCATGTGTTTGGGTGATATGTTTCTCTCCACATCTGATGGACCCTACAGAGCACTACTGATTTAAATGCCCTGTACTCCCAGCAGTATGAAGCAAGAGCAGAGAAAGGGATTCTTAAACAAGAATCTGGAACTAGGAAAATGCCACAGGACCTGGAAAACAGATGAAAAGCCACATAATGCAACTCAAAGGGGGTGGTTTTTTGAAATAGTTCAGTTGTCACCTAAGGTGGTGACCATTCCAAGCCCAGATGAAATGAGAGTTCAGGCTTTATGATACCAGTTAGATGTCCACTGATGCAATTTTGTAGAAGATTTCATTTTTAAAAGTCCAACTTGGTAATTCTACATGTGAGAAGTGTTTAGATCAAGGACCCACCCTGGGCTCAGAGGTACTACTGACCATTAAAGCAAGGGGAAGTCCTTTGTGATACTTAGAACTAAGGAGCTCCATTTACACAGGCCATTGAGACAGCCACCCATGTTTACAGAACACGTACCCAAAAAGCACCTTGGGTAAGTTTTTTCTCACTTTGTTGTGCTTCTTCTATGGAAACAGGAAAGATTGAATTAATTCCCTTTTCCCCTCTTGAGCACTTTTCAAAAAATAATAAAGTGTATCTTTACATTTTGGGAGGCATCTCTGGAAAAAAAAAAAAAAAAAAACATGCTTCCTGAGTGCCTTACGATGCATGTTATCCAGAGACATTTCTGCCCCTCTGGGGGCTACAGAGCAATATCCAAGCCTCAATTGGATGGCTTGAAATTGGAATTGCACTTTAGTTGACGAATCCTCAACCCATGTGGCCTTATGGGATTGCAGGTGTGAGAACTCATTCATTTGTATCTACCAAAGAATTACCCAGAAGCACATCAGATGCCAACACCCCACCTGCACGGTGGGGTGAGAAACTTTTGTATCCCAAAACTTTTCTCTTTTTATAGTGTCTGCTATGCCATTTGGAAATGTTTTCTTTTTTTAACCTCAGGATTTAAATAAAGTGAACACTATGACATTTAGAGTGGTGTGCCCTTTCATTCTACTGGGGCGTGAAGAGAATGCCATTGCCTAGACCTGACCAGGAGTGGAGCTGCCATGATGGGAGAGCATCTTTTACAGAGGCTTTTCAAAAGGGCTTGAGACTGGGCAATCTGCTTCTGTAAAGATTTACTGTCTCAGAAACCTAATGGGGGTCACTATGCATTGGAATCAACTCAATGGCAGTGGGTTTGAGTGTTTGTTTGTTTGTTTTCCATTGTTTTTCAAAAGGGCTTAAGTCAGCAGATGTTCTGAGAAATGGCCATGTGATGTGGCATCTGGAAATACCCTGGTGCCTTTGAGGGAGGTATTGCCTGAAGCAACACATCCTTCCAACCCATACCCCCTCTGCCAAGTGAGCTTTCACCCTTACCCCAATTGTCTCTTAACACTTTAAACAAACAACAAACTTCTGACTTACTGGAATAATAGCAAAGGGAAAAGCAGGTCATTGATGGCCTAAAACCACATGTAGTAAGTATGAAGCTGGGCAAAACTGGCAGGCAGAGACCACCTGGCAAGAAAAGAAGTCGATGCTTCCACCACAACTTTGACTGCCCTTACCAGGTCAGCCTACATGGTTTAAAATCAAGAAGGGAGTGCGTCAGGGTTGTATTCTTTCTCCACACTTATTCAATCTATATGCTGAGCAAATAATCCGAGAAGCTAGACTGTACGAAGTAAAACGTGGTATCAGGATTGGAGGAAGAATCATTAACAACCTGAGATATGCAGACGATACAACTTTGCTTGCTGAAAGTGAGGATGACTTAAGGCACCTACTGATGAAGGTTGAAGAATACAGTCTGCAGTATGGATTACGTCTCAATATAAAGAAAACAAAAATCCTCACAACTGGACCAATGAGCAGCATCACAATAAATAGAAGATTGAAGTTGTCAAAGAATTCATGTTGCTTGGTTCTACAATCAATGCCAACAGGAGCAGCAGTCAGGACATTAGACGACGTGTTGCATTGGGAAAGTCAACTGCGAAGGAACTGTTTCAAGTGCTGAGGAGCAAGGATATCTCCTTGAGGACTAAG